TCCTACGGGCACTGCACTAGTTTTCTTAAACAAGTTACGAAAATGTAAAGTATGCAAGTGAACACACTGGTCTGGTCCTTCAATCTCAGAGCTGGTTCTTAATGTCTCTGTCGCAACTCAGGAAATACAGGATTGGACTGAATGCAGAGAAAGCAGGCAGCAGGATGACTTCAGTGGTTTATTAGACAAAAGTAGCTCACTGACAGGTATGTAGACAGGTAACAGGCGGGCAGGTTCAGGGCAGCAGAAGCTCGAAAGCAAAATAAAAAGGCAAGTCAGGAACATAGCAACTATAAGATGAACTGACAAAGGATCAGAGGATCTGGGCTGATCTATGCAGTGAGTGGCTGATCAGGGAATGAGGTGCAGGTGGGGGAGACAGCGGGGTGGCATCTGGTGGACATGTAAAGAATAATGGTGAAGGAGTCTGTGAATGTGGTGGCTGAAGAGAGGGACGTAGAGGCGGACGCTGTGGCAGTCTCAGTTGTTTTAGTGATGATTTCGGAGCCAATCCTCTCTCACCACATATTGGGTAAATTAAATTAACAAAGGGCCAGTGTAGTTCTTTAACTCCATTAAAATAACTGGAGTGAAACAGCTGCCTCTGTGTTTCTCACCATAGTCAAGGTTGTTTAATGTGTCTGCTCTGTAGCCTTGAAATCCCACCCACAAATTTATCCTTTTCCCATTCGTCTGTCACTGTGTGTGGCTGCGTGCACATTGATGCCTGTTTGTTTCCGCCTTCCTAATGAGTTGCTCTCTATCGATCTGTGAAGGTCTGAGCTGTTTCATTACCAGATACCTGGTGCAAATTATCCTCACTAATTGCGAGTTTTACCGTTTCCTTCTCAGTCACGGCAGATGGTGAACTGCCTGTTGGCAGTAATGATGATTCCCAAAGAAAAACACAGACAAGGAGAGGAGAAACATAGGGAAGACAGAATAAGGAAAAAGGAAGGGAGCAAGCTGTTGAGACAATTAGAGAAAGGGAGGGAGGAGCATGGAGGAGTGAGGGCCGTGTGGCGTATTGATCGTCCTGGCTATGTCCACCTCACGCCTGAAGATAAGACTTAATGAGAGATGGAGAGATGTAAAGGAGAAGAGAGACATTTTGGTGAAAAATACAGTAGAGGAGCGGTGGAATCCATTTCACATTAAAATTACATTAGAGGCAATAAAAGTCTTTTCCATTTTCTGCGGTGAAACTAAACAATATTCACCTGCAGTGATGAAAAATCCTGAAATAGCAAACATACGTCTCTCCTATAAATAACATACATGTATTGGTGCTGTTGGCCATGAGGGTGAGTCACGGTCCTGTGAGAACATCGTCTTCCCCTTCTTCACCCTCTGTTGCTGCTCCCTCGCTTTCTTTCATCTGTCACTTTGAATCTACTCTGTTGTTCCGCTTGTTGTCAAATGCTTTGGAAACAGTTTGATGTTGTCCATGGAAAAGACGCGAGCCACGTGCATTAATATGACTTTAAGGTTTGTCCGAGACACTCCTGTTTATTACGATGTCAGTGATAGTTGGGTTTTTCTCTGAGCTGTGGCAGATTAACTCAAATGTTAGATGAAAGTCACTGAGCTCTTTAGGTGTGTCTGCTTATGAGAGAAGAAGAAGAGACAGCAAAGGACACAAAGTACAGTTTAAAGCAATGTTACTTTTGAAAGAAGATGACGCATTTATGTTCTTATTAATAAAAGTCTGAATTCATAAACAATACACCTCACCTTGGCTTGGTTCAATACACTCAGGGGTTTTTTAAACTACAGCCTTACGAGTAGCATAAAATCTTTAGATAAAAGTTACTGATGGATTTTAGTGAATTAATGACTCTTCTTCACTTGGCCAGATAAAGAGTCAGGTTTTCGGTGGGGTTTTGATACTAAAAAGATGGGAGCGTAACACTTTATTTAGGTAGTCTGCCTACAGATACCTTAATATTGCTTTTAACTTTAATATTTGTAACAATTCAACAGCTTATTAGTTGAGATTCAACAACCATTTTCTGATATTACACCACTGTGGTTTGGTTAGGTTAGGGTATGTTCATGAATTGCCACAAGCGGATATGCAATGCCATGTCGACAGAGGAAAAGGGTGTAGTCAATGCATTGCATTAGTTTGGCCCTCTTAAAGTCAGTAACGAATGCTTTGGCATTAAGGCTTCAGTCTACTTTGGTCTTAAAGTTCCAGTGTGTAATATTTAGGAGAATATTCAGTTGGTTGCAACGTGCTCCTACACTGCTAGATGCCACTAAACTCTACACACTGGTCCTTTAAATACGCTGTAGATATCATCTGGAATCGTGTTTTAAGCCCGTACAGATCTCTACTACAGTGTTACACTGTGTTGTAGCCCTCATCCTGTCACCTGTGGCAAAGGTGGCTGGCGAAGTTACATAATCTTGCTTTGATTTCTGCCGTGCTGCTGTATTATGTATTTATATATGCAGTTGATTTTTTGGCCTCAGTAAACACAGCGCTGACATATTATATCACCTTATTAAGTTGATAAGGTGAGCGTGTTGGCAAACAGCGGTGTCTTGTTTACACATCAAACAGAGGCTGAACAGCATCAGCATTCTTTTGTCGTGCGGTCCAATATATACTCTCCTTTTAGCTATGTTCTGCTCTTGACCAACTCCTGAGGGAAATATCAGAGTCTTTAGCTACTAAAGGCTCCGTTATGTTCACTGGCTAGTCGCTAACTTTGTCTGTCAGCTGTTTGGTGCTGAGCAGGTAGTTTACAGTGGAGTTTATCAAAGCTTTTTCACTGAAAACAGCTGCCAGCTGCACCTGAAGACAAGACTAATGAGAGCAGTGAGAGTGAACTTCAGCAGTACACACAACAAAACAATAAGCTGGAAGCCACTAAACTAAACAGCTCCTTAGAGCTGGGCGACCCCTTTTATATTACACACAGATATTTAATCCACTGGCAGTATAAATATATTGATTACAGGTGCTGTAATCAATATAGCAGGTCATGGCCATCATTTTCTATATGAGGCCTCCTTTTAACGCTGGACCTTCAGTCACTTATCTAGCAGCTACAAACGCAGCTCACACACCTCATCTTGATTTTTTTGGTTCTATTTCTATCTCTATTTCTCTCAGTGGGAGACTGAGCAGCAGAGAAGTCTAGAGGAGAGAGGCCGTTTGCTGCTCTGCCTGCAGTTCCTCCCCCCGGCCGGTGATGGCGACGTGAAGGGCGAGGTCAAGGAGAGGGCTCGTGGCGGGCTGTGTGTGGGTGTCAAACGCTGCGCCCACCTGGCAGCCATGGACGTCAACGGCTACTCAGACCCCTACGTTAAAACGTAAGCATGAAAGTACTAACTGAATGCCATGGTGTATTTAATTCAATAAATAGCACATGTCATTGGACACATTAAAAATGACTAATACACAACTTAGAGTGATGGATTGACATTTCAAGACCCTCATTTCAGAACAACTTCCACTCGAGCCATCCATCTCTCCCTCCACCTTAATACCTGTGTGTGGTGTTACCTGGCCGTTGGCTTATACTGACCCCATGAATCACCTTTTGTCATCTCTCATCAGTGATAGATGGCCTGAGTTAACCCTGCATACGTTAATGGTGACAAATGAGGGCCGCTTTCACACAAGTGGAAGCCATTGTGCAATATATCACTCATTCATCAAGATAATGATAACACTGTGTGTGTGTATTGACAGCCTTCAGAATGGACTGAAAGGCAGTGACATGATCTAATGTTATGGGCGTACTGTATCACGCAGGAGATGGAGTTGGGTGCTATTGTTAGTGTCACAGAGGTCTGTTGGAGTTTCATTACTCACTGATGAAAGAAAAGCAATACTGTGTGTGTCACTGTGTGCGTGTTTGTGTGTGTGCCAGCGAGGGCAGAAAGATCCCTGGGTTGAATGATGCACCCTGACACAAACTGGACAAATGAGTTTTAAAATGCCCCTCTTCTTTCTGAGTGCTGGTTCTGGCTTAGAGGGTTGTTTGTGAAATAAGTAAGACATTAAACAACCTCCTGTCACACGTACATTCATACACACTAATCTCACTTCTCCTTCCCCGTCATGCCTTTAAACTCAAGTTTTCTCCCTCCTCCTTAACACCCACTGAATCTATGCATACATCCCTCACACATCCACAGTAATACATCACGCACCTTGTTTCATTTTGGATGCGTGCTTGCATCTTTGCCCTTTGGCGGGAGCTTTCTTTCCCAGATGCTTTGTTGTGTCTGAGAGCGTGTGGGAACATACGCTCTCCGAGCTGTGGGTGGTGGGTGGAAAGCAAAATGTGAATAGAAATTTCGCCATGCTCCTTCCAGCTGGCTTAAAAATATCCTGAGAATTTAATGACACCCCACGAAGGGATGCTGAGCTTTTTCAATCTGTGCTGTGTTGGTGAAAGAATTACTGATCAGTCCACACGCTCACACGGTTAGTTTCACAAATAATACATTAAACCTTTGAGGAAATAGTTTGACGTTTTGGGAAATACGTTTAGTCACTTTTATGTTGAGAGATAGATGAAAGGATGGATACCACTGCCACATCAGTATCAGCATAAAGGAAAACTTTTGGATAGAGCCAAGCTAGCTGTGTGCATACTCTTAATTTATGTGCCATGTTTTTATAAGCAGCCCTGTGTTACAAACAGTGACATGTAATAAGACTACTCTTGCATATTTAGTTCACTCAAAAATGGACCAGTAGTATTTGCACATTATCACTTAAGTGCTGCTACTTGACAGAATCCTAAGAATCATCATGAAATTAACATTAGCCACAGAAGAGGTGCAGATTTTGCAACAAATACTGGCTAACAGACGACTCAGACGACTACATAATAATGCATTTTGGGTAAATTAATTCCATATTCCTTACTCCACCCACTCATGAAAACTCATGTCATGACTGCACAATTTATAAGAAAAACATCAGCAGAGAGGATTTAGAAGTGGTGTACCCAGTGCAGACTGAAAAATAAGTAGGCAGGCTGTATACCCTGCACTACATCACTGGGTATGACTCTATGGAAATATCAAACTACTCCTTTATGTAAATCATTTCTGAATCATCCTTCAGTGAAGAAGTGACTAAGAATGAAATACAACAGTGAGATGACAAAAAGCTGAAATGTATCCATAACTGACAGTAATTCCTGAGGGGACATATTGATTTTCTATATGAACTTACTCTGACCTTTATGTAGTCATCACTGTTACTGTACCATTAGTGCTTTACAATGACCTGTGAGCGGTAACGTAATGGTATCCTCTGTTTCAGGTACCTCAAGCCAGACGTTCATAAGAAATCCAAGCACAAAACAGCAGTCATTAAAAAGACTCTCAACCCGGAGTTTAATGAGGTAGGCATCCATGTTTGTGTATGTGCCTTGAAAGCGGGAAGCACAATAACAATGGTTGAATGTAAAGAGACAGCTCATTTAGACTTATACAGTCCTTAGAGACACTATAGTGCATGCCAACGTTCTCCAACCTTCTTGCAAGACACCCAATTACAGTTTGCATAATATTATCTGCTGCCTCATTAGTGAGTACTATTGAGATTTATAGAAGAGGAGCAACATGTGTGTTAGGTGTGATCTTCTGACCTTTGCTCTCACCCCTCTCCATCTTTTCTCCCAGGAGTTCTTCTATGAAATCACCTTCTCAGAGTTAGCTACCAAGACGCTGGAGGTCACAGTGTGGGACTACGACCTCGGAAAGTCCAATGACTTCATAGGTGAGCTGACACCACAAACACACTGGCAGCTAATCATTTCCTGCTGGTGCTCTTTTGGATTACTGATCAGCTGGCTGGCTACTTTATTAGCATTCTAATAATGTTCTACCCATGGCAGATGTTGCCAAAGATATTTTAAGATGTTCTCTATTATCTGCTATGATCCGAGTGCAGCACTGCCTGTAATTTGCAGGGTTTAGTTGCCAAAAGGGTGCCAGTGACATTTTGGCTGAAAATGAGCTTTATACCATACTTGCTCTATGAGTGGGAGTAAGTAATTACATTTACTCCTGTTCTTCTATTTGAATAACTTTTTTTGTCTAGTTCTACTTTTTCTGGGATATTTAAAGGTCCAGTGTGTAACTTTTAGGAGGATCTATTGGCAGAAATTGAATATAATATACACACATATGTTTTC